CGAAATGAGTAATCAGAGGATAGCGTGCAACCACAATGAGGAAAAGACAAGAATAAAAAAAAAAAAAAAAAAAAAAGAGAGACAAACGTAGGCAGCTCATTGTCCATGAGAGAGCACGATCGAAAAAAAAAGCTGGCCGCGTTGGCTAATAACCCGTGGATGCGAATGCGATTGCACGCGAAGGAGCGCGATAACAGATAATTAGATTCCTCGGGGTGGTGACATTGTGAAAAGGGGTGGAAAAGAAGGGGGGGTGTTATAAACCGTAAGCCACTCCACGCCGCACACGTATACAAACAAATACATCACAACTGCCTGCATAATAGACCACGGTATACGTGCACAACCGATGCAGCGAAGCTCTTGTATACCCATTCACGGAATAAAACGCAAAAGCCTCCACTTCTGTTGCTATACGTGTGGGTACACTGTTATCCCGGGTGGTGCCGATTAGCCGAAACGCCGCGTTTCTCTGATTTTCCGCGTGTGCCCACACACACACACACACACACAGACACACACGCACACACACACACACACAGCATTGACTGCATGCAGAGTTCTCTCTGCCACCACTGCTGTAATTGTTTGATTCAATTTATCGGGGAGGGGGGGCTTATAACCAACCCCATTCCACGCCCGGAGTTGAAAAAGTTCAAAATGGCAATTGCGGATGTTTTCCGCTTGTTCGTGTGTGCTTTTCGCACGGGTGGACGATCGTTAAGCTCCACGCCCGCCGTAATGGGATCAACGTTGATTCGTAATTAAGATTATCAATCCGCGACGGAGACGGATGCATCGGGATTGTCGTGATTACGATTATTACGGGGGAAATACACAACAGTTCAGAGAAATGTCACGACAAAGCTAAACAATTTTTAAAAACAATTGTAAATCATGTTTCGAGGGTGAAAATTCCACCCCCACGAGCTGTGATAAGTAGCTGTTTCCTACACCACGATCCACAGAACCAACTCAATGGTGACGATTTAATCCTCACTATTTCGTATAAAGGAGAAACATTCGCCGGTGCCAAGCCTCAAAGGCGTAAAATACCAGGGAGCCTTGTTCACTTTAAACTCAACATGCCCCGTGTGACATGGCGCACACAAACTCTTACGAGCCAAGACCCGCGTCTGAGGGGGCGCGAATTGTGTACATCATATACGTATGTATATTGGGAAATAAAGAGGAAGACGAGATACGCCGGAGGGCGCGTCGTCACTTGGGTTTCATTTTGCGCAGACGCGTAGACGCCTATATATTATTATGTACACGATAGAGAGGCATAATGGATGATTATATATACATGTATATACAGAAGTGCGGGGGGTGCGATGTCTACATCAAAGATGACGCGGGGAACATTCTCTAATGAGTTGAATCGCGGTGAACAGTGCTCGAGGCGACAGAGGGTAGAATTCATTACCGGGGTAGGTATGTGGTTGTGGTGGCAGGCTCTGTGAGCCTTCCACCTTTGACACACCTGTATCTACGCCCCAGTCACTGAGTGTATTGCACCAGTGGCTCTGTGCCTGCATTCACTGTTCCCTTGATGCATACGTGTGTATTATTGTAGTTATATTTTTATCCATGGCTTCAACGAGGGGTGTACAATGGTGTCGTATTGTATGCAGGTATAACCCTTGTTTTTTCTTTGTCTCGCGACTAGTACCTACGCGTAAGTACTCAGGTGGTATATTTCAGTCTGTGTGACGCGCGGGTTAATGTATCATTCGCGCACGCTCGAGTGCGACGCAGAGGGCTGGAAAATACCAAGACGGGCATGAATTCTCATCATCGCATGTTCTGCTTTTGCTTCCACTGCTCAGCTCCTAGCGTTGTATACGTGATGGTTGTTCGAGGGTTGGCAGTGGGTGCCAGACTATGCGCGAGTGGTGCTACTGAAACGCGATTATCTCCATGGTTTTTGGTTACTCCTGCGCTCATTGGAAAGCTAATCGATTCTTATAGCTCGAAGTACTCACGAGATTGTCGATTGCTCGAGTGGAATACATGTTTAATTTACTACCCTTAGCTACGGTCACGGAAATCTCAACAAATTGTTGTCTCTATTCAACAGATTTTATAAAAATGCACATGTTTACCTGAGAAATTTTTCCATCTACCACCTCTCATCCGGAACCCAACGAACCGTCTTCCACAAGTACCTACTACCGCCTTAGCGATCGTGCTCCCATCTCCCTGTATACGGAACTCATGTGCTCCACTCTTCAAAAATCCTTTGCTTCTCGATCCCAAAACAGCACTTTCATCGTCATCTCTCGCACATCCTTTGTCTAGCGCGTAATGTTAAGGAGCAAGCTCACGTGGGATCGTTGACACAAATAGGTATCCTATGGAAGCTCCACACCGGGGGTCGATACCCCAAGCCACTCAAACGAGGGATCCGTGAGCTTACCTGGAGAACGGAGCCTCGTATCAACCCCCGTTTCTATTCTTTCCATTTACGGTATTAGGTGAGTAAGCAAGGCACCGATGCAACTTTTTTTCCTTCCTCTGGGAGCAAGTATGGGTACAATCACGTGCGTTAAGGAAAAGCAAGCCAGGGGAACTCGCTCCCTTTCCCTTCCTCCTTACCTTACGACGCATGGGTTCTCGCGTCTCCTGTTGCACCTCATATCTCTGTCTCTTTCCAACGTTGCTGGTGTACGACGCTCAGGCTGCGGTCTGTTGGCGTGTAACGCGATATACACTCGTACTCACGCGTCCCCCGTAACGTATAGGCGCCACCCTGTATTATAAGAGACGCTGCTTTTGTTGGCTTGCCTTCCCGGTGTATATTGGCTCGAATTGGCGGGGAAAAAAAGCGCCCGTGTGGCTCGAGCCCCAACGCTAATGCGTGGATGATGATTCCTTTTCTTTCTTTCTTTCTTTCTTTGATTCCTTGACGCACGTGTGGTTGGTTTGACTGACGTGCTGGTATGGGCGTTAAATTCATCATGATTTTTTTTTTTTTTTTCATACAATCAGGGATATTTTACTTTCGGAGGAGTACAGGAGTTTTTTTTTTTTTTTTTTCTCAATAATCCAATGATGCTTTCTGAAAACAATTTGGGTTCATATGTTATTTCGATGGAGACTCTTTAAAAGCTTTAAAAGATCATCCATCCCACATCTGTGGCTTACTCCGATTGGTACAGCCAGAAGACGACAACTTCGAATGATACGTAAAAATAATCTAGTTGGGCGAGAGACTATTTAAAAATAGGCCCTAGCTATTTTTTATACTTTTCTTATTGGTGATTTATAGCGTTTTTTCCTAATATTGTAATGTACTACGCTCAACCCTTCCCTCCAACCACTATCGTCTCAAAGGTAAATAACGAAGAAGACCCGAACGTTTACCTGCCGACAGCCGACCTCTTAACGACATTACAGCGGAGGGTGGAAGAAAAAAACCAAGTTTGCCGAGATTATAAAAAAAAAAAAAAAAAAAAAAAAAAAAGACAACGCCGTGGAGTCTACATGCTCACGCGTAAGCCTCGCGGCGACGATGGACATACGAAGGTACACGCAGCACGTATAGGAAGCGAAGAAGGAGGGAAGAGCGTTTTCGACGTGTCGCGCTGTGCGGTGATACGCGACGGTGGCGCGGGTCACGAGAACGCGCGAGGGGCTGTTGGCCCGACAGAAGCCAAGCAAAAACGACAAGGGCTAACTTGGGTGGGAAGGGGGTGACCACAAGCTCTCCCCTCTCCTCTCCTTCCATGCATTTGCTTAATAAATATACACGTGGAGGTGTGTGTGTCTTTATTTGCTTATGTAACTGCACGCCTCACGCAGGCATCTTCTACTTAACCCCCGGGCTGTTTTCACCTTTAGAATTTAGCGGTGGAGGTGTTGTTTGCCAACGGAGTGACGTTGTTGCCGCTTCCTTGCCCTCTTGAAGGAGAACTCGCGAGGCTGACTGGGTATATGTGTCTGTGTGTGCTCTGCCGAGCCCCTTGAAGAATCACCGAGGCTAATTTCTCGAACCGCAAGACGTTGCTTTTTGCCTGCTATGCTGAGGTTTCGACGTTTTTTTCTTTCCCCCGTGAGTGCGAGTTCCATTTTTTTTCTACGTCAATATTGCGGTTGATGGAAATGTACGTCGGTTGAAACGTTTAAACATCAATTAAGGATTACTTGAATGACTTTCAGTTGGCTTTTCATTCGTGTTTTCGTTGTCATGTTATAAAAGAAGGGTAAGTTTGATATGGACAGTGTTTTATTACTTTTTCTCGAAAGTGTTGCGTGGGATTGTGCCTGTACAATCAGTACATCATGGTTTCCGTTCGATTTTAGATTTTATTATTCACCTAACATTTTATGTCGTTGTTCAACGTTTACCGTTTGCATTGTAATCATAATCAGAGTAAGCTGAAAGTTTAGCCCGTACTGCTAGCTAGCACGTGAAAAATAATACCGAGCTTGCAAAGTCATTATTTTTCTTTTTATCTTACAGACATTGGTTAATTGTTGATTTAGTGACTTATGGTTATTTCAATCAGAGCCGAATAAAGATACCAAATCTAGTTTATTGCATAGTTCCATGTACAAAATCAGGACGAGACTAAGATTTCAAGTAATTGTAACATCAACAATAACTAATATTATTGTATATTATAAATTTAATATCAAATTTTTTTTTACCTTTGATCTTTTTGGTATTATTTAACTACTGAAAAATTTTTACAATCGACTCGTGTTACACATGTGACGTGTATTATTTAAAAATATTGATTATTCTACAGTCAACTCATAAATCCATCAGTGCTCTGATTCACGCGATATACAACGTCGAGAGTGTACAAAGTTAAAATTAACCATCGATAAATCGGATAAAACCAGCTCCATGTATCGAGCGGGTGTAGGGTTGAACGGACAAATGCGCACAAGGGATGAAAAGAAGGTGTAAGGTGTGGGCTCGCACACAGGTGGGTTTAAAAAAAAGGGGGGGGGGCAGAATAAAATATACAAGGGGGAGTAATACTGACCTTTGTGAGGCATCTTCCAGAAGGGCGGCTCGGGGGTGGACGAGCAATGATTAGCCACCCCCGCGCCCAACAGGGTCCTGGCTGCGTGCAGCGCCGCCACCGCGGCCGCCTCTCGGTTGCGCGCCGCAGCGACGCTCGGTGGATAATCCGAAGGGCCCGAATCGCTCCCGGCGACAGTGGTGCCGCCCCCGGCGCCACCACCCCCGGCCACACTAACACAATGCTGCAAACAGAACGATTAGTTGACAATACAGAGTTTTCTATTTTTTTTTTTTTTTTTTTTTTTTATATTATATGTGAAATATGACTATTTGGTATGCGCATGTTGACGATAGTTAAGAGGTATGTCTTTATTTTTTTCATGGTGTAAGCTGGCGGTATGAGAGGCTAAAATAATTTTTTATTAACTGTAATGAAGGATAGCAATGTTTTCGGAAAATACAGATTTTTGTTAGTCATTTTCATTTGAGCAACTACATGTAAAGTCGGCTTTGTATGACCACAAAATATAACTCCGTGATACTCGTTAAGTTAATTACCTCAGTTAGCCTACCCCAAAGAATACTTTATGTTCCAGTTGAGTAGTAGAAAAAAAAAGTGTGGTTTGAGATCGAAGTGGACGTAACCATCGACTACTTGACAGTAAACAAAGCGGCAAATGTCATAAACCACCTGCCAAACCATGTTGTTGAACAAAAATGCAACCTCCCTCTCGGTGAAAACGTCACTCGCAGCAATGTACCACGGGGTAGGCGTGGACAGCATCGAGTCGCCCCCAAAAAATCCGCTCGCGAGAGGAAAAGTGAATGAATAAAAAAAAAAAGCCATCCCAAGCGCCGTTTAAAACCATTCGACCACTGCCAACTTGGGTGTTGTTTCGCGCATAGTAATCCCTCTCAGCGACACGTGTATAGGCACAGATATACACGCAACAACAGTGCATCAGAACCAACGGGAGGAGGGAGGGCGACTGTTTGTTTTGCGTGGCGACTATATTTCACGCGTCATCGTGGCCGGCTCCGTGTGGGCGCGTGTATAGCAGCGTCATCTCGACTCTCAAACGTTGTACCATGTAAATTGATGGGGATTACGGTGACAGCGATTTTCATTTTAATCGAATCGTTCGGGAAACTTTATCGCCCGGTAGAAAGCAATGCTCCTCCGTGTGTACCCCCCCCCCCCAGCTGCTAGCTATACGGGGAGAGCGCTACGAACGAGGGAAAATCACGCAGCCAGCGGCCCGTGTAATGCGCCTCATAAATTTCTTTGGGAAAGCTCGATGTGATTAAGGGTATAATATAGCTTTGGGCTCGAGGAGTCGAACGGGGGAGTCGGGCTACGGTGACTCCTGCGCGATCGTCGTTGGCCTCTGTGTATCGGATTTTGTACACCAACCTGGGCTTGCACTAGCGCCCTTAAAAGCCGATCTTTGGCCTTTTTTCGTGCTTAAGGGAGAAGATGGTCTCGAAGCGTTGGTACTTTGACGAATGGCGGAGCTCCCAGTTTAGGGGGATGACACAAGTAAAGGGTACTCAATCTAGAAATTTGTTTGTACAACTGAACGACGGGATGTAAAAATCGATAAAACCTCTTCTTGTCATTTTGTGGCAGGTCCTTGACAGGGGGAAAAAAAAGAGAGAAATATTTACGCGCAAACTTGAAGCCATAGTTACAAAGTTTCAAAGAAATTTCCTTGGGGTAAGTTTCAGCATCAGCTGCGAGAAACCTGTAGAAAAATCTCCCCCCCCCCCCCCACGAGCGATAAAAGTCGAGCAGCTCCTTTCGCGCGCACCGCACGGTCGACTTTTCTCTTCGCGCTAACGCCGTCGTTAAAAGCGAAGCTCCCTACCGTATATATAGAGGTGTATGCGCGACGACGACGTCTTTTTGGCTCTCTGCTAACGGCTTCCGCTTCGCAGCGGCGGTCGTATAACGAAATTACGGTCTCGCTGTCTCTCGACTCGGTGACTACTGGTGCTGCTGTGTGTGTAAGGGAAGACTCAACGTGTCGACTGTCCTTGCTAATGTCGAGGTGAACTGCTGGTATTATAAAAATGCACCAGTAAAGATTTCCTTTCCTGTGCTTTGGCATTTGGTTTTATTTGACTGGCATCAGGTGCAAATGTCAATATAGCATAAAGTGTGACTATTTCTGTCGCTAATGAAAAATGGTACCGTTGACGGACGCAAAGTACTAATCTCGTGACCGCCAAGCGGTTGTTTGCTTTTAACACGCGAGAGTGAAACTTTGTCGGTCGAAAAACAACTTTTTCATTCGCGTGAAAAAGTAATGGCAAGACGATCGCTTCGCATTTTTAATCCCAAAGTTTTCGCTCGGCAGTCGGGCTTCCAAGCGCCCGCAATTAAAACTTTTTTTTTTTCATTTTTCCCCCCTCTTTTTCGTGCCCTCCCCCCCAGAAAACTCGTATTCTAATTAGTTTGGTCTGAACCAAGGAGCCTAACTAAACTTAATGGAAATTCAATTAGTGCCCAGCTGGCGTGCTCCCGGCGAAAATCATAATTAAGTATTTAGCCGGGAATTTCCTCTCTCCCTCTCTTTTTTATTTCTTACTGTGTTTGCATTTTCCAAATAACGTAGGGGAAAAAAAATAGACCACCGCGATAAACGTGACTGATGTTGAAATTTCTGATGTTATCTCGATGAAAAACGAAATTTGATAACGAGATATGATCGAGCTATCAAAAACAAACAAAAATATCGTGCTCTCCCCATGATCCCGCTATCGGTATTTGGCACTCCACCTTCATTTTAGTTCAAAGTTGATAATTGGGCAGTACTGTTCTTTCATGAGTCATACTCTAAGGCTTTTGGGTCTCGAAACCTCGATTACATTGGTCGTAGTTTCGGTGATCTTAAATTCTTCCAACCGACCCACGTCAGCCGACACGAAGGGCGAGATAAAACCCTCCTTTCCCTGCCCTCAAAACAAACGCGATATTTCATCACTTGAATTAATTTGTCGCTTTCCGCTGTCAACTATAAGCATCGCACACACACACACGTGCACTGACAATACACCCAGAATCGCGTACCCCACCTGCACTTTAAAAGAACCAGTGCGGACTAGTCATCGTTTCACGCATCGCCGGTTCGCATAGAGTAATTAGATGAAAGCTCGCATTATTATTATTATTATAATAATTCGATGCAGTTGCACGCGTTTGCACACGTGATTGCCACCACCGCCGTTCGCGGGTGCTCTCCCCTCGTGGACTTGGGGCGGGTGGGCAAACAACTCCCGCGTGCACATGCGGACTTGGAGCTGTCGGTGTGCGAATTGGGAAGGAGCGTTTTCCGGTCCGTGTGTGCGAATATAATTAATTTTCGGACGGCGAGGCGTCGAACGCGCCAAGAGCCATATACGTGCCCTTTTTTTGGCTGCTTTTGATTTTTCCTTGCTTCTCCCGTGTGTTTTGCAGATGAAAGACAGCCGCGTGTGGTGTATCCTTTAATTTTTTTTTTTTTT